ACATACGGAGAGCAATGAAGAAAAAAAAAAAACAAAAAAAAAATCCAAGCCACCAAGCCGTGGCTCAGGAAGTCCCTAAGCCTCAGCCTGCGGGAGGAAGTAGGGCTGTTCTGTTGAAGCTTTCGCCTCCAAACATCTGCTCCTCTCAGAGGTACTGCTGGGCTGGGTGGACATTCAGTGACAACCTACAGCTGCTCTCGTCCCAGTTTATCAAATTCAGGCAATGCTGATTCATAATACTGAGTGCTTTCCTCCTGATCGTGCCCCTCTTTTTCACCGGCCGTCTCTACTTCCTCTCCTAATCCTTACTTGAAAAAGAATTCACATCCATCTATTTCAAAATAAGCCTTAAATCTTTTTAAGTGTAAATATAGAGCTGTACAATCATGATCAAAGCAGAAACCGAACACTGAAAGAAGGGAAGAGAAATAAACAGGCACATTTATGCAAAACATTTTTTAATACTATCTACCAGAAAGACAAACAAGGTCCAGTCACCTTCTCCTTTAGGCACGTGAAGTAAAGCGAATTAAAAAAAACAGGAAAAGAGTTTTGAATTTTTTTACAAATACCTTTGGAAATAAGTTAAACATACTGAATATTGCCAGCTCTTCTCTGTACAAATCTGTCTCCTTTCTACATCATTTGTACATGACCTTTAAGAGAAAAAATTGCCCCAGGCTGATGTGAAACACTGTTTTGACACAGCCAGCGTTAATGCTAGCTCATGCTGGAAATTCAAAATGGCATGCCAGCTTCACGTTTGCTATAAAATTGCTCTGATTAGCAATGCCGAAAATTAGCACGAATTATATGGAACGACAGAAAAACGACACTAGGAATTGAAGCCGGCATACATAACAGGTAGCCAGAACAGAACTAATACCGACTTTTTACCCTTATTATATAATCACGCTCACGCGGATGCAGCAGGAGGTGCCAGTAAATGAGATCTCCGAAGCAGCATTTGAAAATTACCCCTCTCTTAGGAACGGAAGATCCATAGTTCCCGGTTT